AATAATATAATAATAATAATAATAATAATAATCATAATAATAATAATAATAATAATAATAATAGTATAATAATAATAATAATAATAATAAAATAATAATACCGCAGTTATCTCAACTTACTCCGAATTTGAAGTTGACCACACTCATTCCTCGGCATTCAAAGGCTATGACCTCCTTCATTTTGGGGACGTCGTCTGCTGTGTACAACTTTTCTTCTGAACGAGGACGTCTGCAAGCAGAAGATGGACGGAAACATACACATGGTCACAGGCTCTCTCCTGTGTTCTCTTTGTTCTTCTTGACATCATTTAGTTGGTTGAATTCACTTTCATTTATTCAGTTAATTTCATTCTAACTTTAATCTAGTTTAATTATACAGAGATAGTATAGACAGAGGATAAATTGACAGATAGACAGATAGAGGATAGATAGATAGATAATTAAGGAGAATAGATATATAGATAGAGAGATAGGTAGATAGGCAATATATAATACACAGATAAAGTGCATATGTATTTGATACTCTCGTTAATTCTAATCCATTTAGAAGCTTTCTAGCTATCAGTAGTACATCTTCAACATCTCAAAAATGTTCACTCACCCATTGTGTTAACTCTGTTGCACAGCTTGCACTTGTAGAGCATGTTGCAAGTACCCCGTGACCCTGGCATTTCCACCTGCTCGTCTCCTGACACGTACTGCCACTTCTCACTCACTTCGTTGCATGTGTTGCACTGAGTCTGTCGGACAAAACAACATAGAAGCATCGATCTACTACAACAACAACAACAAATACAATAACAACTGCTGCAAGAACGACCAAAAATTATGATTTATCAGTATCACCTAGTCTCTCTACCTTTCACTTGCCCAAAGAAATTTATCTATTCATACCTTAATGCAATACTGGAAGTCTTCTCCCGGGGCCTCCAAATCGGTCACATTTTCAAACTGGGCTTTTATGGCTACCTTGTACACCTGTTCGTAGAGGGGGAGAAAATTATCATTAACAGACAAGAATGTTTATTTAGATATATGTGGCTATCTCCACAAGTGAATTATCAATTTTTTATTGCTATCAGCACTATGAACAACATTACAATACTACTACTACTACTACTAATAAATAAATAACAATAACAATATCAATAATAATAATAATGCTAATACTAATACTAATAATACAGATAATAATCATAATGCAAGGTCAAGTAGGCCTACATTTAATATTTGACTAGGTATTTGTGAAGTCAATGGGTAATAATGGAAAGAAGTTGTAACAGTAATAATAACAGTTATAATGTGCCTATATAAGTTCTGAATCAATAGCTATAGTAATAACAATAACAACAATCATAACAATAATAATATAATAATAAATAATAATAATAATAATATAATAATAAAATAATAATAACAATAACAACAACAACAACAACAATAATAATAATAATAGTGATAATGATAACAAGATAATGGTACTGAGAGCGATGTGTGGCGATAGAAGGAATAGACATCGCCATCTTATAGATCGTTAGAAATAGAGCAAGAAACGACACAGGTACAGCTGCAGTGGCTTCATATTCACCACTAAATGATGAAAATATTCCCAGCACATCACCACTCAGATATTTAAGTCACAACACCTCACACAGCGAATGTCATTTTCTATAAGTTGATGTGAAGTGCTAATAATGGGGAGGGGGGGGAGCTTTCCCTCCTGTCTAGAGAATAAATATAAAGTAGGAAACGCTAGTTGGGTTTTTGGATACTCGTGATACCCTGGTGTTGCTCTCGGTAACAATTAACAATAACAATAATAATATCAACGGTATTCATAATCATAACAATAGTGATCATTATACTTATAATAATCATAACTATAATAATTTTAACTATAATAATTATAACTATAATAATCATAATGAAATAATAATAATAATAATAATAATAATAATAATAATAATAATATAATATGATAATGATATGATAATGATAATAATAATAAATAATAACAATCATAATCATGATTATAATTATGATATGATAATCAATAATAATATAATAATAATATTATAAAAAAGACAATAATGATAATAATGACAGGAAGAAAGATGAAAATGACAGTAATCATAACTATTACAGTACTGATATGTTAACCATATCAATAACCATAATCATAGCAACCAAATAATAACATATTAAAAACAACACAAGGGAGTCTGTATTAATATCCTGAGCTGTACTTGTATTTTTCACAATATAACTCTAAATACTATAAATATTCAAAGTAACTCATCTATACCTGTAATATCTATCAACTTTTTGTCCGTCAAGTCGAATTAGTTCAGAATTCTCTCGAAATATTTCGTATGCCGAGGTAACGTTGGCTTATAAATTTAGCCTTTTATCGCACATTGCCTAACTGTCAGAGGTTGATTTAATGTTATATTTGGTCAGTGATAGAAAATACACTTACCGGCATATTGGACCTAGTAGAAGGGAAGAAGGAGGGTTGAGTTTGAGAGATAAATAAGTGTGGAATCGGTATTTCTCTGTCACCACAAGGGGCTTTGCTGTCGGGAAAACACGTCGGGTTCTTTCCTAAAGA